TGCCTTTGGGGCGTCGGTCACTGCCCGAGCATGGACCCCCGCCGGGCCCCGTGACCCTGAGCGACTCCAGACCTTTACTCGACCTCTTGAAGGTGAATTCAACCTGCTCGCCCTCCCGTAAGCTCCTGAAGCCCTCCATCACCAACTTACTCTGAACACACACACACACACACACACTTCATTTAATACAGATATACAAACACACTTATATCATCTATAAATATATATATATATATATATATATTTATTAAAAAAAACAGACCAGTCATAGCAATAGAGAATATTAAACATTTCATGGTATATAATAAAATCAGGGAGGGAAAGATATGACTTAAATGATTTTAGCAAATGGCTGCAATATAACAAAGAGTGAAAAATTTAAGGGGGTCTGAATACTTTCTGTACCCACTGTATATATATATAGATGTTAAAAAGAGAGATTTTCTACGTACTAGAAAAAACAACAGCTACCAATGTCAAAATCACCTTAATGTGCGTTACAAGAGCAATGTTTAAAAATACATTTGACCACTTTTCTTGCATTAAATGCACAATTTTATGAACTTCATAGCTCAAATAAAAAAATAAAAACTCATTTTGAAAAACAGATTTTTCTTATTTAAATATTTGTAATAAACCCAGTGGTTAAGGCACTAAACCAATGCCAATGACAGAAAATTAAAGAATATGCAAAAAAACAACTAAAGTACATTTATTTAGTTTAATCACACCAAATATTAGTGTAATTGTCTTAATACTAACTGCTGCCTGACAGAATCTAATACATTTGGCTCCTAGTTTAACTTTTAGGAGCCAAAATGTAAATGTAAAAATATATATATATGTAATTCTAAAATATTTATAGATATTAAACAGATTGGTCATATCTACAGAATGATCCATCAAATCTTGAACATTTCATGTCTATCGGGGAGAGAAGGATATATAGATGTTCAACAAAAAGGTTTACTAGAAATAACTTGCAATCTGTCAATATCACATTAAGCTGCATTACAAAAGCAATGTTTAAAAACGCATTTGATCTTGCATTAAAATGCACAAATTTACCACACTGAAATCAAAACCTCATTTTGAAAAACAGATGTTTTCTTATTTAAATATTTGAAGAAAAACTGCCACCTGACAGAATCGAAAACATTTGAATAATATATAGGAACCAAAAGTTTAAATCTAAAACATGTACAAATAGCTATACAGATACTTATAGACATCAAACAGATCGGTCATATCTACAGAAAGATCCATCAATTCTAATTTAACGTCGTATAATAATCCATAAGGGAGAGAAAGATATATAAATGGTTCAAGAGAGACCAATCTGTCAGTATCACCTTAACCTGCATTATGAAAGCAATCTTTAAAAACACATTGGATCATGTTTCTTGCATAAAATGCAATTTTGAAAACTAACTTTTCCTATTTAAATATTTGTAGTAAAACTAAGTGCCAGAATATGTCAGAATATTAAAAATATCAAAAACTATTAGAGAACAATGACAGACTCTAATACATTTATCACCTAGTTTAACTTTTGATTTGGATTTTCTTACATTTAAAAGTTAATACTACAAAAGTAGATACAGTAGAAGTAGACAATTCAACAAAATCTAAAATATATATATGTTATTTGACAATATTTGATAACTCTGATATTCTTGTTTACAGCTTTTATATTCAGGAGAACTGTATCCACTGTCATACAAGATGCTTGGTAGCAAATATAATTGCAAATACTTGTAACACAAATAATGTATATGACGCAAGTAAACTTTTACATTAAAATAACATTTTAACAAATGTGAATCATCGTTTTTAATGAGTGAAAATTAATTCAAAAGTCCTCTACATAAAGCACAACGCCAGAAAAAACCCACAGATGTACATTTGTATTTAATCATTCAGCAGATGCTTTTATCCAAATGAGGACCATTAAAAGCAACTTATCAAATGTATTATTCACAGTCAACACAACGTGACCAAGGTGTTTATTAGTTTATTCAAATCCATCCTTCAATTTAGAAGATTTTCTGTCATTATAAATGAAAAGCAAAGACTGATAAAAGCAATGAATTCTGTTCATTTCAGTGAAATGCAATTAAATCACCACAGAATCTGCAATTTAGCATAGATTTTTTTGAAAATGGTTTCATCACACATTACAGCTGATCTGATGAATTTATTGTTCAAATACAATTAATACTACAAAACATAGCTAAGATCTAGTTTATGATTATGCCCAAAACACAACAAATACTGACTATGTATCTATGTTTAGGCATTTGTTTGTGATTTAATAAATAATCAATTTTCCACAAGCACATTGAGAGCTTTCCAACACAAAGCCAACACATTCAAACAAGTCGACTTCATCACGTAACGGTGATTTAAGTCATGATTGTGATTCAAATGCATGAATACTAATGAATGCGATCCTGCAGCTACAGAAAGCTCTCTATGGTCTTGTCACAGAGGCAGTGCTACTTGATCATACCATTTACATTTCAATTATTCATGAAATTAAAACAGCAGTAACGTAATGCATGAATCAAATGCGAGAGGCAAAGCGCAGCTGACATGTATTCTCATCAGTTACATTCCTCTAGAAACATCAATAGATCAGTAGCGCCGCATCACAGCTCTGTTCTTTATGAATATCAGCACTGAATTCACATCTGGACTGATGAATGATCACATGCCCAGTCAACACACCGTCACAGCGCTCACTGATTGCTTTTTGTCACGGCTTCACGTTTAATTCAGCCGGGTGGGAAATTAATGCATCTTAATTGACATAATGGACACAAAAAGCATTCTGATTGAACACTTGCGATGGCGAGAAATTAAAAATCCACAGCATAAGAGAGAAGTGCATTTATCAGAAAAGCCAGGAGCAAAACCCTTCACACGCAGATATATTAGATCTTTTCTATTGGAATATCAATCTAAACAGCTCAACACACTTAACAGGATTAGAGCTTGGTAAACACACACACACACACAAATAAATGAAACAAATACATATCATTTATAATAAATACACATATATTTCTATCTGTAAGTAATAATGAAGCAAAATTTGTGAATCAGTCATTAATATTATTATACATTAATATATTGTTTTGTATATTAATAAATTAATATGATCTATTAATTATATGTTAATTTTGCCTATTATTGCAATTATTTATATATATATATAAACATTATCTATCAAATCATAGAATAAAAATTTGTCAGGTTTTAGTCCAGTGTTACAGTGTTCATCTATCTTTTTCTTTCTCTCTTTTTTCTTTTTCTTCCTTTCATCTATCTTTCTTTCTTTCTTTCTTTCTTTAATCTATCTTTTTTCTCTTTCTTTTTTCTATCCATCTATCTGTCTGTTTGTTTTTTCTTTCTTTTTTCTTTCTGTCTATCTGTTTTCTTTCTTTTCTTTCTATCTATCTGTTTGTTTTTTTCTTTCTATCTTTCTCTCTCTATTTTTTCTTTTCATCTATCTATCTTTCTTTCTTTCTTTAATCTCTCTTTCTTCTCTTTCTTTTTTCTATCCATCTATCTGTCTGTTTGTTTTTTCTTTCTGTCTATCTGTTTTCTTTCTTTTCTTTCTATCTGTTTGTTTTTTTCTTTCTATCCTTTTCTCTCTCTATTTTTTCTTTCTTTCATCTATCATCTATCTTTCTTTTTTCTTTCTGTCTATCTTTTTCTTTCTATTTTTTCCTTTCTTTTTCTTTCGTTCTTTCTGTCCCTTTTTTCTTTTACTTTCTTTCATCTATCTTTTTCTTTATTTCTGTCTTTTTTCTCTTAGATGGACTATCTTTTCTCTCTTTATTTTTTCTTTCTGTCTGTCTTTTCTCTTTCTTTCATCTATTTTTACTCTATTTCTTTTTCTTTCTATCTGTCTATTTCTTTCTTTCTATCTGTCTATCTTTTTTCCTTTCTTTCTTTCTATCTGTCTATTTTTCCTTCTTTCTTACTATCTTCTTTCTTTCATCTATTTTTACTCTATTTCTTTTTTTTCTTTCTATCTGTCTATTTCTTTCTTTCTGTCTATCTTTTTTCCTTTCTTTTTTCTTTCTATCTTTCTCTCTTTCTTTTTTCTTTCTTTCTATCTGTCTATTTTTCTTTCTTTCTTTCATCTATTTTTACTCTTTCTTCTTTCTTTCTATCTGTATATTTCTTTCTTTCTTTCTGTCTGTCTATCTTTTTCCTTTCTTTTTTCTTTCTATTTTTCTTTCTTTTTTTCTTTCTATCTGTCTATCTTTTTTCCTTTCTATCTTTCTATTTTTTCATTCTTTCTTTCATCTATTATATTTCTTTTTTCTTTGTATCTGTCTGTCTATTTCTTTCTTTCTGTCTATCTTTTTTCCTTTCTTTTTTCTTTCTATCTTTCTCTCTTTCTTTTTTCTTTCTTTCTATCTGTCTATTTTTCTTTCTTTCTTTCATCTATTTTTACTCTTTCTTTTTTCTTTCTATCTGTATATTTCTTTCTTTCTTTCTCTCTGTCTATCTTTTTCCTTTCTTTTTTCTTTCTGTCTATTTTTCTTTTTTTCTTTCTATCTATCTGTCTATCTTTTTTCCTTTCTATCTTTCT